TATTATTTGTTGAAACTGTACTTCCGATTTGATTTGAAACTGTCTCATTGCTGTTTATCACTAAAACTTTGAAAAAAAAAACAAGATAATGATTGAATTAATTTTCCCAATTATAGGTGCTGGGCTCTTGCATTGTTTGGTGGAAATGGTGAGACAGGATTTGAGCAAAATTCTACTTATTCAGTGTTCAGCATTTCTATCACACTCACTGATGAGGGTTATGAACATTTCTATGAGGTAAATAATAAAAATCGTTTTTCTTTTATATTATGTATAGTTTTATGTCAAAGACTAATGTGATGTTTTATTTTTAGGTTGCTCATACTGTCTTTCAGTATTTAAAAATGCTGCAGAAGTTAGGCCCAGAAAAAAGGTAATAAATACTTCTTAGAGTGTAGCCAGGAGTCAATCCTTACATGTTGTAGCTTTCAGGCTGCTACTAGGCATTTTGTCCTGCAGGATGGTTTTTCAGTTATTTTCTGGTCTGTTTCCTTTATTGGCTATATGTCTTCATCCTTCTACATGTATGTGTATCCTAGGGTTTTACTTGGCCAGTCCCTTTATTATTATTATTTATTTATTTATTTATTTATTTATTTTTAACTTTCTGCAAAGCTTTATTCCAGAAGGGTTCAGTCCTTCTTGTCAGCTGCCTTCCTCATGGCCAGTGCATTGCTCAGCTCCTCATGCTTCCTCTTGGCAGGGATGTGCATCCCCACCCTCTTCTTGATGAATTTGAGGGCACATTTGTCCTTGGAGACTTTGAGCAGCTGCATGGCATGGCGCTCACAGGGAGTAAAGCTGCACACCTCCTGGATTATGTCCCACATGAACTTGTGTTTGGTGAGACATCCGCAATGGCAGCTGTGCCTCGTTTTGTTCACATTCTTAGTCACCTTGTGACTGTTGTTGAGTCCTATGGCCATGGGATAGTGGAGGGCCTTGGCTGCTGTTCTTCAGTGGTTGCTGTGGCAGAAGGACCAGTGCCATGCGGAATTGTGGGAAATCTCCAGTTCCTTTATTTTTATGCATCTTTTCTAATTGATGAGTATGGTGAGAAATTTTAATATGTACAGTATTCTAATTATCACATTTTTGTTCACAGAATTTTTGAAGAGATTCAAAAAATTGAGGACAATGAATTTCATTACCAAGAACAGGTATGAAAGTCACATTCTTTTTAATGTTATCTGTGACCAAGTTGAAACTGATCTGTAGACACTGTTCTTCTACTTAATGTCATTAGAGTTTTAATTCTACTGTCATGTGAGTCTCAAGATGGCCTTGAGGCTATCTGAAAATTGCTTATGACATTTTTTTAATTTTTTTGGCGGAACTGGGGATTGAACTCAGGCCCTTGCGCTTGCCAGGGAAGCACTTATTCCACTGAGCCATCTCCCCAGCGGCTATCTGAAAATTAACTGCTGTTTTTAAGTATTTTATTGAGTAAAGTGATAGGATTAGACAAATGACATCAATTATTTTATGTGACAATTTTGTATGTAATCACATTGCCTATTTGATTCACATTCATGGAGAATTTATGATAGTATTTGATACCAGGGATTTTTTTTTTTTTAAATGTATTTAGTACAGGGTCTACAGGGTCTCACTACACAGATCAGACTCATAGTGATTCTCCTATTTTCAACTTCCCAAGCTCTGGGATTATAGGTGAGCACCACCACTCACAGTCTCATTCACTGTCTCAGCACACCCCTGGGAACACTCTTCCTTTTCCCAGTTCTCCACTCAGATGTGTTTTTTTCTCTTCTGAAATTTCTCTGGACTAAGTTGATCTATCCACAGTGACTTTTGCTATGGCATGCCTTCATTGGTCAATGGATTTTTAAAGTCACCACATTTTAAAAAAAAAAAATATTTGGACAAGGTTTCGTTATGTTATCTTGGCAATGGGTGGTACATAAGAAAGGAACTCTGGAATACTGTGAAAAAGTTAATGATTTATATGTCTGTAGCATGGAGATGTATGAGAGGAAGTCATGTAAATACTGAGAGGTAAGACATTTAGAGCATAGGAGTTTGGGGTTTTTGTTTGTTTTTTCCTTGGTTGTGCCTGGAGTCCCTTTGGAAGTCTGGTGAATCCTTTGTAGTTCTCTTCAGAGTAATACTTAATTCTCTTACCTCTTTAGACTTTCACAAAAATTGCCGTCGTAGTACAGTAGTCACTAGTATATGTGTCATCTAGGTTTGTCAATTAATAATATGTTATCATATTTTCTTTCTTCTCTGTCTTTGTATATGTGGTCTTTTTTTTAATTGCCAGATTAACAGTTAATTACAGATACTCTGACTCTTTACCCTAAAGTTTTGTTTTTTTAATTTTTTTTAGCAAGTGTCTCCTATAAAGATAGTTTCTTGCATAATCACAGTTGTCACTGTTGGCAAATTTAGAAATTCACGTGGAACCCAACTGAGTGTTAGTAGTGATACAGAAGTATTTCCAAGAGTGAAGGGAAAAGTACATCTTTTCTTGCTTTTTCCTGATTGTATTTTTACCTGAAAGTATAGTAGACTATGTATATCTGTGATCTCTGTGTGTGTCTTCCCCTTCATAAACATAGTAACCCTCACTTTTATTCTGAATTTCATTAGATAAGAAACAAAGAATCCCAGTACTTGTGAGGCTGAGGCAAGAAGATTGCTTCAAGTTTGAGGCCAGCCTGGGCTACATAGTGAGTTCAAGGCCTGCCTGAACTATTTAGAGTGACCCTGTCTCAAAAAAAAGTCTAGCGTTCTAGGAGGTGCATTAGGAGGCTGGAATTTGAGTGTACTCTGGTTGGCATTCACTATATGACCTTGGACAAATAACCTTATCATTCTGAGTATATGTCCTCACTGTTAAAACATGAGAGGGAATAGAACTACTTAGTTTCTGAAGGATCTATCAGTTTTAAGATTTGAGTATATGGGTGCTCAAATAGATTATTTATTTTATTTTTTGGTACCTGGAATTGAACTCAAGACCTCATCCTTGCCAAGCAGATGCTGCACCATTAAATCTCTGACTCCTCAAGTAGATTCTTGAATTGTTTTCTTCTAGAAAATTATTTCCACTGGAGATATAGCTCAGTGGCATAAGCATCTGCCTGGCAAGCACAAAGTCCTGAGTTCCATCCCCGGTACTGCCAAAAAAAAAAATTCCATTTTATAGGTCAAAGAACTTGTTATTCTTTCAATTTTAAATTAAGATAACATACAACTTTTTTGTAATGCTTTTAGTTAAAACAATTATATGTATTTATGGGAGTACAGTGTAATATTTTAATATAGTACACAATATGTAATGTACAGGACAGTTGGCATATCTGTCACCTCAGGCACTTGTCATCTGTGTTGGAAACATTCAAAATCCATTCTTTGCCATTTTGAAATAATGCAGTCAACTGTTGCTAAGTATAGTTATGCTACTATACTGTAGAACATTATAACGTATTTTTCCTATCCGATGCTACCCACGTACGTACCTGTTAACTCCTTCTCTTAACTCTTTTCCTGCTCCCTAACCTTCCCAATCTCTGTTAGCCACTGTTCTGCTCTCTGCTTGTTGGTACTTTTATGTAATGACACTTACAGTTTGATTTGACTCGTGCTTGTCAGTAGGTGATAGATAGATGATAGTCCTGAATAGAAAGTGGGCCCCATTCCCTATTCATCTCACAGTCTCGTGTGCAGGACTTGACAGGCAAGCAGGTATGGTTCAGGATGATAACTGCTCTCATGAAGAGACCATGGCATCACTTGAATCTGTAAGCTTAGCTCAGGATGGGAGCTGGAAAGGTGTGAAGTTAAGAAGCCAGGTGTGGTTGTGCATGCTTGTAATCCCAGCACTCCAGGAATATGAGGCAGGAGGATTGCAAGTCAGTCGAGCCCAGCTTAGGCAACTTAGTGTGACCTTGTCTCAGAATTTAAAAAAAACACGTCTGGAAATGTGACTCAGTGCAAAGGCTCTGGATTCAGTCTCTAGTCACACACAAACACACATGGTGATAGCCCCTCTATATCCTTGGGTTTCTGGGCATGGAATTGCTAAGCTGCAATTATATTTAGTTATATCTGTTCAGAAGTTTTCAGTTTCATTGTTGAAAAGGAAAATATACATGTTGTGGCAAATTAAGGGTAACAATGCACATTCTCGTATAAAATAATGTTAACTCTTTACAGACGGATCCAGTTGAGTATGTGGAAAACATGTGTGAAAACATGCAGCTGTATCCACTGCAGGACTTTCTTACTGGAGATCAGCTTCTTTTTGAATACAAGCCAGAAGTAAGGAAGTTTCTACTTCTAAAACTTGCTCTTAGGAAAAGAAGAGGGTGAAAAATTGCAGAGATGTACTTAAGAACTGAGAATGGGGGAAATTAGTTATATTTAGTCAAGATTTTTGTTTGTTTAAACAGCATGTTAATAGTTTTATAGATAATTTCTCATGATTCTTTTATGTGAATTTTTTTTTGCAGGGGTGTCTGTCTGTAATACATAATTACGTGTTGGGGAGCTAATACATACTTTGTATTGTGATTGCTTTTCACTGCTTTTCCTCTATGCTTATGTTGTACTAGAACAGAGGAAAATCAGCTCGTTATATGTTATTTTTAGTTTTTCAAGTACTGAAAAACCTGTAATAGTTTAGGCAGTATCTAAGTATTACTGGGTAAGTTCTTAAGCATACTTAAAGAATTGTTTAAGGGCCAGCCAGGTAGCTCAGTGGATCAAATCACCTGCTTAGGCAGATGCAGGAGTCAGAGGTTTGATCCCCAGCCTGCCTTGCCTGCCCAACCCCCAGGGTATGCTGAGACAGCTATTGAGACTGGGTATGGTGGCGCTCGCCTGTAATCCCAGTGCTTGGGAAGCTGAAAACAGGAGAATCACTGTAAGTTTGATCTGTGTAGTGAGAACCTATAGACCCTGTAGACTCTGCACTAAATAAAAAAAAAAAAAGAATTGTTTAACTTACCTTTTAATTCAAATGAAGGCCGGGTGTGGTGGCATGTGCCTGTAATCCCAGCTCTGAGGAGGCTGAGGCAGGAGGGTCACTGCAAGTTTGATAGGCTACAAAGTATGCAAAGTGAGTTTAAGGCCACCCTGGACTGCATAGTAAAACCTTATCTCAAAAAGAGAAAAAAATTAAATCCATCAGTCAATCAATCAATCAATCAATCAATCAACCAACCAACTATTAACACAGAACTGTTATATTTTTTAATCGCTTACAAATATTTACAAGAAAAAGGTAAGATTCCCTAAATTTACAAATACACTTACAGATACTACATGCAAATGAATAGTTGGTTAGGGTCATTGCTGTATTACCTGGGATTAGACCCCTTGCTTCTTACAAGGTAGTAGTTGGCAACCGGGGATGATTTGCCTCCTCAGAGGATATTTATCAGTGTCTAGAGACATTCAGGTTGCAACAATACAGGGTTAGAGTGTGGGGGTTTCTGACATTTAGTGGATAGAAGCCTAAGATGCTACTAACCATCTTATAGTGCAGAGGACAGCACCCTACAAGGAAGACTTACCTGACTGAAAATGTTACTAATACTGAGATTGAGACACTTTGACAAAGGGTATTTATTCTAAAGCCGCTGATTTTAAAGAAGATAGAAAAAAGTAAAGAAGAGGTACAATCACACATTCTTGCCATAGCCTTAGAATGATTGTGTCTAAAAGCCCAAGTGTTTGTTTTTGTGAAACATCATTTGTTTGTTTCTTAAAGAAATGGTGTTTATGTGATAGTTAGAATTACAAACCAACACATACAATCCTGTGGTTCATCTTTATCATACCTGAAAGATTTTCTTGAGGGAAGTGCTGCCTTGGCATCATTTTATTGAGGTAGTATGGAATGTAGCTTTTCAGAGTGTATTCTTTGGGATCATGTGCAGCCTTGCTTAGAACTTCACTTGTGCCACTTCTAGCTATTCTGTGAATTACATAATCTTTAATCTGAGAGCCTTTAACCTAGAAGCTGTGTTATTTTTTGCAAAATAGATGTGCCTTGTGGTTGTTTTTAAGATTAAATGAAATAGTATGTTTAACACTCCTTGGCATATAATAAAAGCTTAGTAAATGATAGCTGTTTTTATACTAGCACTTTTAATATGTGGGATTTGAGATGAGCACTGTAAAATATTATCAGGAACCATTTGATGTTTATAGTTCAATAAAGTTGAAAAAGTTTTCAAAATACAACTAAACCAATGGTGTCCATGGACTGAAGCTAGTTTTGTAAAAACCCATCAAGATGTTGGGTTTTAGGGGACGTCTAGCTATATCATTTTGCTCCTTTAACAGAATGTATTAGGTTAAACTTGTTCTTGTGTGCATCTCTCTTCCCTTATTCCCTACCTTCCTTTTTTATTAGGTCATTGCGGAAGCCCTTAATCAGCTAGTTCCTCAAAAAGCAAATCTTGTTCTACTGTCTGGCGCTAATGAGGGAAAATGTGACCTCAAGGAGAAGTGGTTTGGCACTCAGTATAGCATAGAAGGTATATATTTTACTTGTCCTTCACTTAGGAATGTCTGACTCACCTGGGAATTTTTATTCTGTAATAATTTGGTCCTGGGGGTAGAGAGTACTTAAAAGATCACTGAAGTGCAGATTACTTAGGGAGTGAAATTATTTTCTGTTATATTAGCTGTGAAAAAAATCTGTTTTTGGTATTGGAGAGCAGTTTTTGTTTTGTTTTGTTTTGTTTACTTTTTAAGAAAGTGATTCTCAAACCCCATGGAGCATATGTGTCACCTGAGGGTCTTATGAAAACACGTTCTGATTCAGTGGGTGTGAGTGGGTCTGAGATTGTGCATTTCTAACAATCTGCATCTTGGGTAGCAAAATTGAGGTTGCCTGGATATGTGAGAAATAGTTTTCCTGAGATAGGAGAATTGATTTATGAAGGCTCTTTGACAGTTTGTTATGAGAATTGTTGGGCTAGTTTGTTTTTCCTCTTCACAGATGTTGAAAACTCTTGGACTGAACTGTGGAAGAGTAATTTTGAATTAAATCCAGATCTTCATCTTCCAGCTGAAAACAAGTACATAGGTCAGTGAAATAACAGTTATTATACGTACGTTCTCCATGTTTTAAAAACAAAACACATCTATGTAGTACATTATATTTTACAAAGTTCCATATAAGTTCATATTTTAGAGTCCCAGCAATATTTTGGAGGGGTATTACTATTTTCTTACTTTTTGAAATGAGAAAATTCAAATTCACAAAAGCAAAGTGACTTGTTGGGTTGGTGAGTGGAGGAACCAGGATATAGATACAGATCTTGAGATTCTCTGAAGTTTATGCTTTTTGTTGTACCTCATATGAGGCTGACCCTTTATCAGGAGAATTGTTCTTGTTAGATTGTTCTAGTGTTTTTCAGACTGGGTTGCAATCCTTTATAAGGTTGTAAAATCAGTGTTAGGTATTTTGAGGTCAGTGGAAGGAGCTATGTGAGCTATGAAAGCATTAAAAATTCCATGAGAACAGGAAATAGCAAAATGTCTTATGGCTTTCAGAAAAGGGTGTTATTGCAGAAAATTCAGTTTCATATAGGTATGTATGTGTATATGTGCCTGACTACTAGCTTGCATTGGAAAACATATTTCTTTCTTTCCTTCTTTTTGGAAAACATATTTCTAACCTGAATTATAGTTCAAAAAAGTGAAAGCCACTGATCCCTAGGTCAGAGATTTTGTACTTGTTTGTGGCAGTAATTCACTCAGATACCTTATTTCTCAGCAGTATCCCCTCCTACATGTACACATACCTATAAGTATAATATACTACTGTATGTATTTATATCTAAAGTAAATACTACTCACAGTAGCCAAAAGATAGAAATGAATCAAAATAGATGAATGGACAAACTGTGGTATATACATAACTTAAAATATTATTAAATCATGAAAAGAAGTACTGATAGATATTATAATGTAGATGAACCTTGAATATGCCATGTGAAGTGAAAGAAGCCAGACACAACATGTGCTTTATGAATTCATTTATCTGAAATATCTAAAGTCCATAAAGACAGAATGCAGATTAATGATTATTAGAGGCTGGGTAGATTAAGGAAAGAGAACAACTCCTTTAATTGCTATGTATTTTCTTTTTGGGGTGATGAAAAAAGTGGTTGTACAACCTTGTTATTAATAACCACTGAATTATGCACCTTAAAATGATTGCTTTTATAGCATGTGAATTGTATCTCAATGAGGGAGGAAAAACCTTTTTAAAAGTCTTTTGTGTATTGGAAAGTTCAGTCCAGTGCTGGCTAAACAACTGAGTTCTTTTAAATAAAATAGCAAGTATTTCTTTTGTCTTTGTTAAAGTAGGTTATATGTTAATGCTGTAGTTTGTTTTCATTAACTGAAATGACAAATTTGTTTTTCTTTGAGCAAAGCTTCCAGATGTTCATAAAGTTGATAAAAGACATTTAAGAATATATTCATTACTGGGTGTTATGGTACACACCTGTAATCCTGGCACCTTGGGAGGCTGAGGCAGGTGGATTGCTGTGCATCCAAGGCAAGCCTGGGCTACAAAGACAGACCCTGTCTCAAAAAAAAAAAAAAAAAAAAATTGAGTGAAGTTTTCCTGTAATTCAAGAAATCAGGAGGCTGAGACAGGAGGATCACAAATTCAAGGATAGAGTGTGAAACATAGTGAATTCAGGCACCCTGAGCCAGCCTCCCCGCCAAAAAAAACCATAGTGAATTCAAGGTTGTTCTATGCAAGACCCTGTTTCATTTAAGTGTGTGTGTGTGTGTGTGTGTGTGTGTGTGTGTGTGTGTGTGTGTTTATTTGTTGAATTATACCACTGCTGTTACCATAAGTTCCTCATACACTTAAACTTGTGTGAGAAAATGAATGAAATCATGCAGAAACCAGAATCGACTTAAAGGAAATTACAGTTTCAGAGTATACTCAGGTTACAGCCATAGACACACTGTACTTTGGTATTTGAATTGGTTTATTTGTGCCATAAAGTAATAGACTTTTAAAACCAAGAACAGATTGTGGGGAATTGTGTTAAAATAACTGAATTAAACATTTCTTTCTTCTTTTGTTAGCCACAGACTTTATATTGAAGGCTTTTGATTGCCCTGAAACAGAATACCCTGTTAAAATTGTGAATACTCCGCAAGGTTGCCTGTGGTATAAGAAAGACAACAAATTCAAAATCCCCAAAGGTAATACATTACACTTTAAAATGAGTCAGATAATTAAAAAATTCTCCACTTTGTAGCTCTCTTTTTTTCTGCTGTGTTTGCTGCTTACTTCCTTCTCTTTTCCTTTGGAGGATCTTTCCTAGGCTTATTTGTTCAGTTTTTGCTGTGCATCTGTGCTGTCACAGAAGTCTTTGTATCCTAGTTTCCAGAACATAAAAATTGAAGCCTAGAAAAATATAATTTTCAGGGTTTTTTTTTTTTTCAGACATATGAAAGCAGAACTAGATCTTTAGCCATCTTAAGAAATTAGTGGTCTTAGTTGAACGTTGTTTTCAAAAAGAGAAAGAATAAATTTATGTGAAGAGAATTATTATTAGACATAATAACCAAACCAACATTACATGGTTTTCCGGGTCAGGGTGACCTGGTGCCCGGAGCGTGACCCACCACTGGCTTGGCTATAGCCCTCCCATGGCATGCTCACGTGTGGGAGCCCAGCCTGTGGGCACCAGCGTGGGGAAGCCCACTGGCCCCAGCCCCAGCTCTGCGGCCGGGACCCTACCCTACTCAGCTCTCCTGTGACCTCGCATCCTGTGGTACACCCTGTGTGCTTCCCTTCCACGCAGGGGGGGATGGGGCCATGAGCACCTTTGTTGCCTTTATCATCCGCGCAGTGGGTATGATTCTCCTCTCGGCCCATTAATCTGAAATCAAAGTGTTTTAGTTATGAAACTCCGAGCCTAGTCTGCCAGGAGACCTTACGCTGCCTCAGTAGCAGCCCCACGGGCCTGATTTTAAGGCGCCAGAGGTGGGGGAAAAAAACGATGTTAATGTTTTTAGCCAGGTTCACAAGCTTCCCTTCTGATTGTGCGCCCTCTCACTTGCTGCCAGTTGCCCTTTGGTTTTCACAGTTGAGAGAAAATACAGGTTTTGATCCCCCTCATGGCCATCACTCAGTTTCAGTTATTTAAAGTTTGGGCCTGCATAGCAGCCATATTCTCATTTCTAAAGAGATTAATATGCAGATCTGGCAGAGGAAGGAAATTAAGTAAAGACCAAATCACATTGCCAACTACTGTTGATTATTCATGAGTTTCTAAGCAAACAGATGTGGAAGAGTGGACATCCTGCAATGAAGATGCTCTCACAAGCATGAAGATAGAAGGAGGGAATTGAAGTGTGGACACACAACAGAACACTTTGGAGCAGCTGGAACCTGAGTACTTCAGGGATATGACACCCACCATAAGGAAAACTCCGAAAATTGTTAAGAAAAAGAGAGCCATTAAAGCTTGGCATTCTAGATGGTAGCACAGGTTTCTCCAGTAGATTAGCAGCTATGCAAGATATGCCTTTGATTCATCAATCTTCTGAGTTAGGTGACTTGGATTCCTGGCAAGAAAATACCAATGCATGGGAAGAGGAGGAAGATGCAGCATGGCAGGCAGAAGTTCTGAGGCAACAGAAGTTGGCAGACAGAAAAGAGAGCGGTCTAGCAACAAAGGAAGAAAATGGAAAAGGAAGCACAGGCTAATGAAGAAGGAACAAAGTAAAATTGGTGTGAAACTATCATAACCATTGTGCTCCAAGTGTCATCATGCCAGTGGGAGAAATCTGAGCTCCACAGTCCACACAGTGTTTATATGGATTGAAGAGTATTTTCAGGATGCAAACACACTGCTTGATTTTAATGCATTCATCAAGCCATCCAGGGCACACGGATTCTTGCACAGTACCTTGGACTCTTAGTGATTGAGACTCAAAGGAACAACAAAGACGTAGGAGGCACTATTTCCTCAACATGCTCCAAATATAAGACGATTGTTTGCAGTCAAGAAATTATTACAAATGGAATATACTGGTACCTCTCAAGCTAATGTTTCTAGCTAGATGTATATAATTTCATGGTGGAAAAAAGAACCCTGCACTCATGCTTTCCTTAATTTTAATACCCTTCAAAAAAAAAAAAAAAAAGCATTACATGTATCTGCTTCCTTCTGCCATTTTGCTTTGCAGTACAAGGGAAGTATAATACAAATAGACTCTAAAGTCCTTTTAACATTATGGCCCAGACCATGTTGCTTTTTTTATTCTGTTCTGTGCATAGCTTTGGAACTTACTAAAGCAGCTTGGAATCATAAAGCTGAGTGCTCTTGGATATAATTTAACCCAGGTATCCAACCTCAAACAACTGTACTATAGCTCTGAGAGACTTGAGTTTTTTTGTTTTTTTGTATTATTGGAGATTGAACCAAGGGCCTTCAAAACTGAACTAGAGACAGGATCTCACAGAGTTGCCTATGCTGGACTTGAATTTGTAATCCTCTTGCCTCTGTGAATCCGAGGCTTGTTGCATGTCAGGCATGCACTCTTCCACTACGCTACATCCTCAGCTCTCCAGAAGTTTCTTGAATAACTTACAAGACATTGTAAAAAAATGTGGGGTTTTTTTCCTCTTTGTTTTTATTGTACCAAGGATTGAACCCAGGCCCTTCATATTGGTCTATATCTCTCTTCTTTTTAAAATTTTTGAATTTTGAAACACAGTCTTGCTAAATGGCCCAGGCCAGGTTTTAATCTAGTATTTTATTTTTCTCAGTTCCTCAGACTGCTGGGATTATAGGCATGTGACACCATGCCAGACTCAAAAAATGTTAACATTTATCCACCTTCCTTAGAAAAGGGCTCTGTGATAGCTTTCTGTTAATGCTGGATATGTTCCTAATGTTCTTTTGTGTGTGGGGGCATGTGAGTATGTATGTGTTCCTGGGGGACTAAACCCAGGATCTTTTCCATGCTGGGCAAATGCTATGATGCTAAGCCGTACCTTCAGCCTCCCTTTAATATTTTTGTCATGTACACCTCTATTAACATTTTGCCTGTGTGAAGCTATTGGTACATATGAGTATTTATAGACCTGTCTATGTAGGTATCTATATATCTGTGTACCTTCTAGGGCATTTTACCATCTGCATTGGTAAGTACTACCTTTTAAAATCCCATAAGAGCTGGGTATGCTGGCACATCAGTATTTAGGAGGTAGAGTTAGGAAGATCATGCATTGGACGCCAGCATGTACTATGTGGTGAGACCCCATCTCAAAAACAAAAACAAATCAAAAATAAACATGTACTGTGTTGAAAAATAAGAATAAGAGTGAAAAGATTAATAGTTTATTCATAATTTGGAAATAAGGGAAATGGCAAACATGTAAATGTGTGAGGCCTCTGGCCTTCCATATTTTATCTGTGGTCTTTTTTTGTTTCAGCCTATATACGTTTCCATCTGATCTCACCTTTGATACAGAAGTCTGCAGCAAAGTAAGCAATGTTTCTTTTTTTTCTGGAAAAAAATATTTTTCATTATTGGAAAGCTTTTGTTTCAGTCTAAGTCATTCTGCCATTTTCTCTCAGTATTCAAGGTATGATTTACATATTTTTTTTCTATGATCCCAAAAGTTACTTGCATCAGTACCAAACATTAAAATCGAACTGTGACTCCTCTGTGTAAAATATGCTCAAAGTGTAGGTTAGTCAGAATTAGAAAAGAGCAAGTTCCTTAAAAATCAGCTTTCGTGGTAGCTCCTGGTGTAAAGACTGACGGATCTGTTGGTCATATACAGTGGACCCTTAACTTGTGAACTCAGTTTGTGCCTGAGGACCGGTTGTAACTCAGGTTGTCAACTGAAGGTGCAGGCTCCTCTACACAGCCTTCAAAGTCTCCTGTATGTAGGCAGATCTCAGTGTCTTTAGACATTGGCCCAGGTTTTCCCAACTCCATATAGGAAAGGATGTTATAATGTTCCTTCTAGAACTCTTTAAAGATTAGATCTGTATCTCAGACCATCTGGAAGGACCAGCGGCTGGTGTTTGAGTCCTAACTCATTAGACTTTGGTTGTAAGCTGAAACAGAAGTTCCAGTCATAACATAAGTTGTTTGTATGTCAGGCTGGTCATAAGCTGAAGGCCCACTGTATGTAAAGGCTGCCAAGAAGTATAATTATGTTACATATTTAATTAGATGACTGTATTATGGTAGAGCAAAGAGCCTAACGTGTACATGAATCATAAGTACTCAGGACACAATGTTACATTTCTTTTCCTTTGCCACTTACCTGTTAAAAATTCAATATTAAAGTGATAAGCACAGTCTGGGCATGGTGGTGTATGCCTATAATCCCAGCACTAGGGAGGCTGAAAACAGGAGGATCACTACGAGTCTGAGCTGCATAGTAAGACCCTACACACACACACACACACACACACACACACACACACACCCCAAAAAGCCACCTTAAAATGACAAACACAGTCAGTGATACAACTCAATGGGGTAGTGCCTGCCTGGCAAGTGCAAGTACAAGGTCCTGAGTTTGCTTCCCAATACAAAAAAAAAAGACAAGCAGCACTAAAATGTATTAATATCCACTCTTTAAAAAAAAATGTATTGGGCTGGTGAGATGGCTCAGTGGTCTAAAGCACCTACTTAGAACAAGCTAAGCAAATCAGAGGGACCACGGTTCAATCCCCCAGCGCCACATGC